TTAGTCCCTTATTCATCAGAGGTTGGCACAGCGGAATGAACTGCCAACTATTCCTGCATATGTTTTACGCAGCAATGCCCTTCTAGCCACACCCCATTATTGGGAAACACACATACACTCTGGCATTCACACACACACTCATACACTGCGGCCAACTTGGTTTATTCAATTCTCATAAAGAGCATGTCTTTGGGACCCTCTTGCTGTGAGGTGACAGTGCTAACCACTGAGCCACCATGCTGCATAATTAATTATCTGTATTGGGTAAAGTTACTTTGATATATTACAATCTTAAGTCAATTAAAGTAACTAAATGCGTTACTTGGCTATTTAAGATTGTAATTATACTTTTTATGCAACACTGTTAATTAATAATGTTAACTTTAGCCCCTTTCACAAGGTTGTATGTGTGAACAGGTCCTTTTTGAAAATACCGGTAAATTCGTTCTGGCTATTTTCCGGAAAGAGAAGTTGTAACATTACCGGCAATTTGCCGGAATGCTGCGCTGTGTGTATGCAGAAGGAAGATTGCCGTAATAAGCGCGTGCACGTCTAGAACGTGCTGACGTGAGACGTCTGCTTTAGCCAATCACAACAGTCAGACGCATTTACGTCCGCGCGGTTTGTGAGAATAAAAGCCTTTGAATATTTTTCCAGACACATTTAGCTGCTAGAAGTTAGTCAGATCACGTTTATATGTTCTTCTTAATGCCAACTGTGTAAATAATCATTGATGAGATGCTTATGATAAGCCGTTGTTTGTTTACCTTCAAGCTTTGCGTGCGCCTATGAGCGCCTGCACACGCACATATTATGAACATCTCGACATGCGAAAGTGATCCTGCGAAAGTTGTTCACAATATTGATCATCCAGAGAGTTTGTAATTTAGTCAAATGTTCACAAATACAAGCGCAGCCGTTTAAAGCTCATTTGTGGTGAATGATGTCAGAATTTACCGGTATTTTGGAATGGATGTGTGAATGCTCTTTTCCGGAAAATTTCCGTAACGTCCTCGCCTGTGTGAACAACGCTTTTTTCAATATACCGGTAAAGTCGTTCCGGAAATTTTCCTGAAATTTACCGGTATCACTGTGTGAAAGGGGCTTTTGTTGTTGTTATTACTATTATTTGTTTTGTGTATATGAGGGATGTCACACTCGTAGCAGTGGAATATGGCTGTATATCGGCACTGGTGGGAGGTGAGCGTCTGCTCGAGGACACAGGCTGAGTGTGTATAAAAAGAATATTAAACACGTAGAGTTTCCTTCATTCATTTCACCATTCATTCACATCTGCAGCTGATGGTCAGAACAGCAGAAGCCAGTGCTACTTCACCAACATCACTTTAAAGCTAGTATTTGAATGATTTTCTAGTGTAATTTATAAAGTGATGACAAAACAGATGATTTTGCTCACGTTTTAGGATTGAAGGGTTTAGCGGCATTAAAAGCCATCAGTCTACAGAGATTTCCCCGTATTTCTCTGTTGCAATCAGGAGATCACGATAATTAACCCCGAAAAAGCCAAAGCAAAGCAAACACTACCAGATTACTGTGGTATAAATACAGCACTAGAACATACAAAAGAGAGAGGTTGACTTAAAAAGTCCCTTACCTGTTTTATAATGATTTGATCTGCTGTAGTTTGAAATTTATCTAGTTTTTCTCTTTTAAGGCTTATTATTCGGTCTTAGTGACATGTTAATGTCTGCCAACGTGCTAAATCTCCGAAATTATGATTGTTTAAAATATCCACTATCCTCATACAAAAACTGCATAGTTGCAATCTAAACAACTTCGCCTAAAAAAAGCCTTAAAAAGCCTCAAAAAGCACATTATGTTGTCCAACAGCTGCAATATTTGTCAAACTGTAGTGAGTTTTTTAGTCCTTCTTTAGTCCTAGAGTGGGCAGAGTAATACACAAGGGTGAAAAGGCTGTACGAGTGCTGATATTGCTTTACTATCTCACGGCTATCAGCAAAACAGATTCGAGAACCAGCCAGAACTGTTTTATAAATAAATGTATATATATTTTTTTTACATTAGAACTAAAGACAGCAATTACAAAAATGGTATATGCATACATGTATATTGGGCCTCATTTATAAAACACAAGCAGATTTTTTCAGATGTGAACTTAATAAACTAGGCTGGCTGGAGTGTATGTGTGCGTGTGTATGGGTTTCTCAGCACTGGGTTGCTGCTGGAAGGGTAACACATGTCGTAGTAGTTGGCGGTTCATTCTGCTGTGGCGACCCCTGAATGAGGGACTAAGCCAAAGGAAAATAAATGAATGAATAAATGATAAAATACAAAGTTTAGCTTTATAAATCTATCTTCATTTAAAAATAAAATAAAAAAATAGAAGATTTAAGACCACCATCTTGTGAAAAGAGCCTGTTGTATATGAAATATACTGTACTGGACTCAAATCTTAGAAGGATTAGATAGAATATTCAACTGGGTAAGAATTTTTTTGTCATTGTGAACAAGCATGCACTCGTATCCTATTTACAAATGATTGGAATTCATTTACACATGTTTAACTATGGCATATGATATTTGTGAGTCCTGAAGAGAGTTTTCAGGAGGTTCTTTTTTATTTGTGAATAACTATTGAAAATGCTGTCATCATTTATTACCCATTCACTTGTTCCAAACTGTTTGATCAATTTTCTTCTGTTAAACACAAAAGAAGATATTTTTGAAGTAAGCATGAATGATGGCTATTGTGTTTTTGATTACTTCTTTGCTTGCTAGAATTGTTTTTGTTACACCTTTCACTCAACTTGCACGTGCATCGTCAATAATTAATTGACTTGTGCAGTACTAGATCATCATAGAAACACACATGCAATAATCATTCCAGTTAAGATGGTTCTTTGTTATTCTCACCATTAAATGTTATAATGTAATAAAGACTGTTATATTAGACTTCACTATGCTTTGGTGGTTTATGAAACTTATTTGCCAGGTGTGGAGATGATTAAACCAATAATCAATCAGTCAAGCTTCATCTTTACATGTTTACATAATTAATTGCAGTAAGTAAAAAAATCCAGTAAGTAACACTGTAAAAAAAAAAAAAAAAACACATATACCTTAGGAATGATATAGCAAAAATGTTGGCAAGTATTGGTAAACATTGGTAAATGTTAGTAAATAGATTTAAATTAACAGTGAGAAAAGCCAGATTTATTTGTTACTACACTGTAAAAAATGCTGGGTTACACACAAATCCTTTGAGTTGTCTCAACAACAAATCGATTAGATTGTTTAGTTGTTTCAGCTCATTTTAAATAAATAGTTTTTACAAGCAGCTAAAGCCATTTTTGAGTGCCTGTTAATAATACTTAAACATACAACAAAACTGAATTAGCTGTTATTAACGTCATTTAATAAAACAATTATGACTAGTAATCAAAGATTACAACCACAATTACATGTTATTAAGTATTTCACACCTAGATGTTTGTTTCGGAACCTGGATCGTTTGCCCAGTTTGGCATATGTGAAACCAGCAATCACGCTCTGATCCATGCCAAAACAATCGGTTTGCCTGAATGAAGTGGACTCGGCACTATTGAAATGAACTCTGGAGCTGATTGATTGTATTGAGAAAGCAATACAATCCCACAAACTAATGAATCAGGCTATTTCACAGTGTATTATGGTTTTGTAATAGCCTTAGATACGGCTTTATGAAAAGAGAATAATGAGTAGGGCAGGATGTCATCATTCCTACTGGTAAATGTGCATTTTATGTTGAATATGAAAGTGAAAGCATGCTTAACTATTACAGAGTGCTGTTTATGCGTTTGGAAAATTGAAATAAATTACCATATTTTTTCCATATCTTAATCTAAAAATATTTTGTATTAGGCCTGTTTTGTTCATTTCTTCAATGACACCTCGAAAGAAAGATCAACATTGATCTGCTTCATGATCTGACTGCAGTCTCTCTTTTTTAATAGATTACTGATTCAATAGATCGATTTTTATAAGCCCTAACAACTGAAATGAGGCTGTATTTATATTTGGTGACAATGTCTGTGGTTGTCAACATTAATGTGCACCTTTTGGCTTGTAATATCTAATTTTTCCTAATCATAAAGTAAAACAATGACGTATGAATCCGTGGGACTCAATAATCCATAAAACATGAGGACAGTTTACTCGCATGTGACTTGTTTTAACTGTTTTGGTCTGTTTAGAAACTTTGCTGCATGAAAGTGAACCGCACCAAGAACAAACATAAACATTGTAACAATTTTAATCCCTGTTTTAGAACAAAACGATCTACAAGCACCCTAAGAAATTACAAATTAGTTAATTAAGTAGTTTTCACTCTGTGTTTAACTAATGCTAACAATTGAAGTATTATTGCCATGCTGTATAAACAATCCTAAATTTTAAAATTAATATTACAGCATATAGTTGGTCAGATTAACATGTGAAAATGTTTATATTTTAATTATTACGCTGATTAACAAACGTTATCTCATGGCAATTCGTAACTTTTTGATTTAGTGGCTAAGTCATATGAATTCATACAATCTCATTTGTACAATTTAGTACGATTTGTTCATCATTATTGATGGTTGGGTTTAGGGGCGGGGTTGGGGGCCACATCTCCTTTTTTAAATTGTACATTTTTGTATAACGGAATTAGCCACTCTACTGACAAAACGTAAAATAGTTACGTTTCATTGTGAGATCAGGCTGGATAAACTTGTAAAGTCTGTAGGCATTTGGAAATACAATCTGAACATTCTTAAAAAGCACTCAAAGTTAATATAATAAATAATTATTCACAGTATTTGAAAGGCCCATGATTGATATTATGCATGTTTGTTATCACAATATATAGAATTATTGAATATCGACATATGTCTAGTTGCAGCTGTGTATATATGGGGGTGTTATAATTTTATATTTTTACCTGTTCTAAATTCAACAGATTTTTTGATAATGATTTCAATGATTCTGATCTTTTACAGCAGCAAGCAAAACATGACAGACACAATGTTCGGCAGTGAGAACGAGCAGTGGGTCTGTCCAAATGACAGGCAACTCATGCTTAGAGCAAAGTAAGTTAGGTTTTTGTACTTTTTTGGGGGGTTGATCTGTTGCGCAAATTAAATTTTAGCATGTCATTTGTCAAATCATCCCGTGACAAATACTTTTAAAAACACGTTTGCATTATCAAAACTAAGGTTCTTTCAAATGACCAATGTTTTTACCTTCATGTTTCAACTTTAGTAGCAGATTTTTTTAAAACCCGTAGAAAGCATCATTTAAACTACTCTTTTATTGTTAGGACATGACAAACATCCCAACCTGATGAACATTTCACAAAGCTGAGGTACAGCAGTTATGTTGATAAATATTTATGAAACATTTTGATTCAATGTTTGGGGCCTTTTTCTTGAAGAAAATCTCTTAATGGAGAAATAAATTGAGTTTCTACTTGTTGTAATGAGTGATATTAAATAATAATGAAACAGGGTTTTTCCCCCTGACTTTGGTGCTGTACGGTTATGTTCATTAATATAAAAACATCTGACAAAAATGCAATATTCTGAGTAATTTTAGTTCAGTTAAACATTGCCATTCATTATATCATACAATAAGATGCTCTTAATAATTGTAATAGGTAGTTTTCACACATACACGTTTCATTACCATACTGAAAAATACTAACTAATTGTATTTGAGAATAGTATAAAACAACACTCATCTGAATGTATTAAATATAAATACAAATGATCTATCTTAATAACAGTTAATTTGCATTTCATTTAACACATGGTTATGTTAATAATGTAATAGAATTCATTCATTTGCTTATCTCTAAATTCTGCCTCAATATACCACGGTGCTGTTACTGGTACTACAGGCAATCAATGAATGGTCTCATTCAACATTCATGACACATTGTTTCTCCTGTCTGTCAGTGCCATTGTGAACATCATTGCTGTTTCACCTGACTTATAAAAACAACAACAAAAAATGGAGATTGTTCTTTACTAAACTGAAGCGCTTCTCTTAATTCGGAGCTGATTGCATACATTTAATTCTAGACCTATCCAGATCTAAACAAACCTAGAGTAAACTTGCATTGTGCCATTGTTGGGTCTGATTCAGATAGATAGTGCTACTCGTTTTTGGCACACGTACTCTGTTTAGTTCTGCTTTGAAGCATTAACATTATATCAAAAACGTGTTATCATTTTATAAAGGTAAAAACTATATTGTGGTTATATACATAGTCTGGGGCTGAGAGACATGCCAAAAATCTCATAACACGAAACAAGTTATCTTACTGATAACAATTAGGCTTTGGCAGTCTCCAAATTTTGATACTGTCAAACCTCCTCTCTATTTTACCTTGGTAAATGCTATTACCGTGAATAGTGAAAAAAATGATGCCGTAAGGCTCAAATAGCATCCCCAAATTGTTGGCTTATGCCTAAACCGTTTGGAAAATGAATTCCAAACACCAATACTGAAACCATAACAAAATAACATGCACAACAATGTTAACAACTTTTATTAGCAACAAATAGCAGTTTATAAAAAAGTGCAAATACAACAGTCGCGCACACAAGAGACGCGCACACAAATCTAAAATTAAATTTTACCAATTTTTTTTTTCCACTGTGTGAAAAGCATTTGGTAAACCATTTCCTCTACCAAATAATTTGCCAGTGCATCAGTACAGGATTTCCAATAGACACTGTCCTTTTTGTACCTTTTTGTTGCACAATTTGCAAATTGCCTCGTCCGTATTTACCACATCTCCCTTCATGTTAAGTCAAAACCTGAAATGCTGTCAAAATGCAGAAGTTGTTTCGAAATCAGGTCTTCATAGATGAGTAATAAATGGCAGCAGCAATCACAGGTGATCCATGATAGACACGGTGGAGAAAACTCTGCATGTCTATACCCAAAAGTATCGCAGTAACAGCCGTGAGGAGAGGAAAAGTCATGCCAGCAGGTCAAATGGGCCTCAATGAGAGAGAAATGGAGTTTACTTTCATTCTCTCAATCGCTGTGAAATAGCTACGGCGACATGGCGTATATGAGATAAATGACGTCAGTACATCATAACTGATTATGATTATTACTGAACCGATACAGAATTGTCCACGTCTACATTGCAGTGCACTGAAGAATCAATTAATTTTGACACCCTGGTCTGTCGCATTTGCGTGCGTATAAATGGAAGTCTATGGGGTAAAAAGTACAGTGTGACCACGGTTTTACATGTTGGGTTAAACAAGTCTGAAGAAGTCAATTAGTTTGTTTAGGTGTTTTTAATTAGGGTTGGAACTAAACTGTGTAGAGCTGCGGCCCTCTAGGAACTGAGTTTGACACCTGTGCTGTAGACAATCGAAAAAAAAAATGCTTAAGGGGGCTAATAATATTGAAAAAAATGAATATAATAAAATGTGAAATACTGTGGAGAAATTTCTTGTTCTGTTAAACATAATTTGGCAAATATTTGATAAAAAAAAAAATCAAAGGAGTGCTAATAATTTTATATTTTATATAAAATTTTTATAAAATTTAATTTTAATTATATTGTCATATTGCACAGCCCTACCTGAGCACTAATCAAAAACTCTCATTTTTCTCTGAACTATTTCTGACGAGTCCTTTATTGTCACGTGTGTTTCTGTTTTTCTCCCAGGTTGCACACTGGTTGGTCCATCCACACGTTTCAGTCAGAGAGACAGAGGAAAGCTCAGGCGCTGGAGAAGAGAGAGCTGGATCTCATCATGAGTGTCATTCACCGCGCTGAGCAGCTCGAGCTCATTGAGCAACACCGCATCGGGTCAGTCTTTATCTCTCTTGCTGCACATTGATGTTGTATCATGCCTTCTCATACAACATCCTGTCAGAGAAACATTTTAAGTCTAAGAGATTTCAAGAAGTTTAGATTCAGATCGCATAACTGATATTATTTTCTTGACTTAAGGACTTTCACTAGTTAAATATAAACATAATGTCTGTTTAACACACATCATGAGAAACGTCTGGTTGGTATTGGTAAGATTTATAAAAATTTTCAGTGTGGGTAAAACTAAAAAAAAAACACACACAAATAAAGCAACAAACAAAATAAACCAAGTGTACAATTTACAGTAAGCTGAATCCATTATTAATAAAATAATGCTAAATGCTTACAGGTCCCATGAAATAAAAATGATTCGTGTATATAGATCCAAAACTGATATAAAACTGTAAAGCTTGTCACTTCCGCCTAAATATATCAACAATTTCTTTCACGTCACCTCATACTTCAGTTTCTCATCATATCTTGACCAATCAAATGCTCTTTATTATCTGACAAGCCCCGCCCCCTTTTAAAATGCTTCACATTTGATGCATTTGAGCTCAACTGCTCTCAATGGCAGAGCTGTGACAAAACAAAACACTATTGGCTGTTTTTTTTAAAGGAGGAGCTACACTATGTCCCACCCCTTTTCATGTTTCAGTTGAGATTGTCAAACATCAAATGAAAATACACATTTAAAAGCACTTCACAGTACCTTTAAATGTAAAAGGGAACATTTGACTGTTACTAATTGTTGTTTCAATTATTATACACTTTTTAAACCACTAACAGCATTGACAGTAACAGAGTTGATCTTTTCCACCATTCTGTGCTTTAGCTCAGACCAGATATCACATGGCCCGTGTAAAACATAATCTATTGTATTTTCATTACATTGTTGTTTTTAAGCTACAAATAATTAAAGAATAACGCCCCATTCACACGGGGCTTCAGCGTCAACGCTTGACTGAAGGCGTGTCTGAAGTTGGGGCTGAAGTGATCGTCATAGAAGCGTCAGCCAATGAAATTCAGTCAGCAATAGGCCACTGTCTAGCTGGTGTATTTGCATACATCGATCTGATTGGCTGACACTTCCGTCAGCGCTTGATGAAAAGTTGAGCTGGTCCCAACTTCTGCAGCGAGCAACGACTCTGAAGCCTCGCCGACGGATCCACAATGCAGTTCGGCAACGCCTGACTTCACCCATTCAAAGTGAATGAGAAGCGTTGACGCTGACGCCCCGTGTGAATGGGGCATGATGATGTGCCTCAATGCATTTAGAGTTACCTGCCAGAGGAAGTGACATCCCTTGATGCAAGTCACATGCTTTTTCTATCAGTACTTTACAGATTTGTATGACTTATTAAAACTGATGTAACCAAGTTGGTCAGACAATTTAAAAATAACTTATTTTAGAGCAGCAATCACAATACCTGAAACCCTGATATTATTTATTTATCCATGGTTATCTTACCATCAGAAACATATACCAGCCCATGCCTACAACCTACTAGCAATACTATTTGTAGATGTATTTATCCACGACAGTTCTAAACCAGCTAAAATACCAGCAGCACAAAAACACACACATCAAATATCCAATGCAAGATGTTGTGGTTTGCCAATGAAGTGTTCATGATACTTTAGAAATTAATAGTAATATGCAGATTTAGTCCTCAAAGATTGATTTGTCATTTCATTTCATCAGTAAATTAAACAGTAATTAGTATTTTTATATCCTCAACAGTTTTTTTGTTATTTTTCTGTTTATTTATGTTTTGTGATCAATGTTTTATTGTCTTTAGATTAACAAAATAAACGACATTTAAACAAACAAACAAACAGGGGAGGGGGAGCAACAGGCATATCAACAATTTCCAATCTGAAAAAAAACCTTTACATGGTCATTCCTTTATATAATCTAAAATGTTGGAAGGAAAACATTGCAACGCATCAATGGTACAAGGTTTAGCCTTAATTAATTTAATTAATTTTTTTGTTTATGTTTTGTGATCACTGTTTTATTGTCTTTAGATTAACAAAATAAACGACATTTAAACAAACAAACAGGGGAGGGGGAGCAACAGGCATATCAACAATTTCCAATCTGAAAAAAAAAAAACCTTTACATGGTCATTCCTTTATATAATCTAAAATGTTGGAAGGAAAACATTGCCATGCATCAATAGTACTAGGTTTAGCCTTAATTAATTTGTGTTTTATTTAGGTTTTGTAATTAAGTTTAAACCTAAAGCAAAGGACTATTTCTTTTTTCCAATTTTTTTTATTCTTTTCTTTCTATGGCTTTAGTTAATGAAAAATTACCCTGTTAGGACTTTTGAAAGCCTAGCCTTCTGACATGGCAATAATTTGTCAAATTAGTATCTCTTGTGTCAGTTTTTTTTAAATTTATTATTATTAAATTGAAAGCATTCTTGCTGCAAAGAAATCCCATAATATACTGTATATATGATTATCGAGAGTTAAACCATATGGCTGATACATTTTTAATTATTCTTTAAGCTTCGGTTAGATCAAAGTGAAGTTAATTTATACATATAAAAACATACTGCTCAGCATGAAGAATAATAATATATATTTTTAATTAATTAATGTGTGTCTGTTTTCAGACGTCTAGTGGAGCGTCTGGACAACATGAGGAGCTCTGCCATGGGAAACGGCCTGTCACAGTGTCTGTTGTGTGGAGAAGTATTCGGTCTGCTGGGCTCTTCATCTGTTCTCTGTTTGGACTGCTGCATGGTAAAAACCGCCTTAAATATTTGAAACATCATGTTCACTATTCCTCTCACACACACACTCATGGCTTTTTAAGATTACACCTAGTCATTTCCATATAAGCACTGTGGGCTCATGTAGTAAATCTAAGACGCCACATTGGAGCAGCAGAGAGCAGCATTCTCAAAGATGGTCAGAGTATTTTATGCATACAAAAAATAGCAGAACCCAAAAGATGGCTTTTGTGTTTCCTCATAAATTTCACATTGGTTTTTGGATTATTATTTTTATTATTATTAATTATATTATTTTTAAGTTCAAAATGAGGTATGTGGTTCACTTTAGGCTAGGCTGTTGTTTAATATTAATAATTAATATTAATAACCTTTTTTTATCACTCCGCAGGTCCCAACTGTTTTGCACCATGTTGTGACTGAATAATAATAATAATCATCATAAGTAGATTAGTTTAGACTTTACATTTAATTAAACAGTAAAGTATTGAGTGCTTGCAGAAACCAGTATCTCGGGCTTTGCTTTTTCCAGTCGGGCTATAAAAATCTCTTAGTGGGAGGAAAAATATATTTCAATGCTTTACATTCACTCCAAAATTGGCTAATTATGTGTGTATTGCTGCTGAAACGGCAGTGATAAATCCACTTTTTTACTTGAGAAAAGTCACAATATAAACAATTACCTCTCAAAAAACGCAGTGTTTCAATGCGTGGCACTGAAGTACACAAATACTCGTCACTCACCCAGAGATCTCACTGACACAAAGATTTGGATACAGAAATAGCCTGAGCCAGGCTTTAAATTTAAAAATCATTTGTGTTATATTCAAAATCAATTTAACATGCGTCTATACCAGCAGCATAGCATTAAACTGAACATCTCGATTCGTCCTGTTAGCTATCACATGCCAAGAATTAATAACTAAAGAAAAAAATAGAGTGGGAGAGTTTAGCTGATGCGGTTAACACTGTTGGGTCTGAACATTGCACTGAGTGGATAAAAAAATAAAAAATAGTGCAATGTAAAGCTGTAAAATTTTGCACTGTTAACAGCGTGAGTGGCGTAGCTCCTTAAACACATTGCATTATGTTTTGACACGTTCAAGCATAAACTCGGTTCGAATCCAGTGTCTGATGAAGTTATTCTTTATTTTTTCCCCGCTACATATCAGATTTTGCCTATATATATTCTTCATCACGAGGAAGACAAGTATGAATCATTAAGAAGTCTGTGCATCATATTTTATTTGCACATTTATTGAATGGAAATGTTTCTGATTCACGTAAATTCATCTTCAGATAGTGCCTTTATAGCAATGTGTGTGCAGTAGATTGCTCAGATTACATTGGGAAAAACGGCGACCGCTGCAAATTGCGCTTTAATGTTTGGCTGGTCAACTGCATAGTATGGAAACCTTATATACCTGCTAGACATGCGAATGAACCCGTCTCAGCTGCCATTGCACGGCTCAGACACTTTGCAGAGTGCAATTTAACACAACTGCCTCTAGGAGTTGCCAATGAAAATAAACAGACACACACAAGAAATGTGCGTACGCCAGGCATGAAGTTGGCGTGGACCTGCACACATTCCCACGTTCATTTCATTGTAGTAAATCCAAACGTGAGCGTGAAACCTGGCGTACGTAAAGTTTTTGTGGGTACGCAGCATTGATACATGAGGCTGGTGAATCTGGGTCAGGGTCAGGAAAAAAAATCTCTTTCTCATGTAGCCTAGTGAACCGTGCGTGAACACAGTTACTGTGCTGCAAATGGCCGGGATTTAAATCGCGACTTACAAATACACTGAAATTATGATGATGTATTTCGATAATGTTACTTTTTATGACTAAAACAAGACCTATTTATTCACAAATTGTTCATTCAGATGTCAGGTCCATGTTAAAACATGTTACAAGAACAGAGCATTTGAAAAATATCATCTATAGTTGCATCACCCTATATTAAAGCCCTGGAATATCTCTGCATGCCAGTCAGGATTTCTTACCGCCCCACTAAGTCACCCGTAACTCTACAACAACGTGTGGTTTAATACCTCAACTTACTGAACTGTTTCTTTGCTGAAGCTGTTCCAGAGCAATACATAAAAATGACCATCGGGTGTCGTTGTAGAGACGGATTTTGAAACATTTCAAACCTTCGACACATTTGCTTCGACTGGTTGTTTCATGAAGCCTAGCTCTGCCCACCACTACAATACTTCAGGAAAAGCATTTGAATATTAACATTATTGAATGCGATCAATTCTGTTAGTTCTTTGAAAATTACTTTAAATTGGTTGTTTGAAAACGACACATTAAACACTATCATTATGATCTTGTGAGGTAAATATGAAGTGAAAATTAAATGTTAAGTACAGGAATGACTTTCATGGTGCTCTTCACTAAACAGCCACATTATTAGGTACACCTGCCCAACTGCTCCTTAATGTAAATATCTAATCAGCCAATCACATGGCAGCAACTTGATGCATGTAGACATGGTTAAGACGATCTTCTGCAGTTCAAACTAAGCATCAGAATGGAGAAGAAAGGTGATTTAAGTGACTTTGAACGTGGCATGGTTGTACCTTGCAGGTGGGCAAGTACCTTGTTGAATCTATGCCACAAAGGATTTTGGCAGTTCTAAAGGCAAAAGGGGTCCAACCCGGTACTAGTAAGGTGTACCTAATAAAGTGGCTGGTGAGTGTAATTATATATGTGTAATTATCCTCTAGCTTTATGTATTTATTATTATTTTTTTTAGTTTTTGCTGATCTTCTGCAGAGACTTGAATGGATGTAAAGGGCTGTGAATTACATAAGGTGCTCGATTTTTAACTTATTAGAGATTTTAAAAGTCCTTGAATTTGGTGTCCATGAAAGAGTGGATAGTGAATTAGCCTAAAATGTATATGAATACACCTGATTAGAAATAGTGAAGATTCAATAAAAAAAATGCTAACATTGAAAACAACATAAGTTTTAATTACTGTGTACTGTATTAGGAAATGGGGAACTGGCTGGCGTTAATAGGGTTGTAAAGTTCTATTGTCACACTAGTAAAAGACTGAATTGTGCATGTTCAGAACGGGATTAAGCTTTCAAAGTTGAAATTTGACAACCTAATTTAGCTGCAGTGTGTACTTGGCCTCCTTGGATTGTGTTTCGGGCCTTATTTCAAACGCACACATGAAGTTCACCCAAAAATAAAAATGATCTCATCATTTAATCTCCCTTATGTGGTTTTAAACCTTAATGAGTTTCTTTCTTCTATTGAACACAACCTAAGATATTTTACAGAAAGAAAGATGAAATGTTGTAACCATTAATGAAATAATAAAAAATGCTATGGAAGTGTAATCAGCATTTTTCAAAATATCTTCTTTTGTGTTTATCAGAAGAAAGGAACTCAAATAAGTTTTAAACAGAAGGGTGAACCATCATACAGTAGTATTACTACTAAAAGTGTTATTGCAAACATTTAACACACACATTTCATCACAAGGGGGCAGTGTTTACCTGAGACACTCATTGACTTTCATTGCACAACTTACCACAAGACGAGGCACTTTCCTCTGAACTTTGGGATCACAGTTTGTAGTTTACTTGGAGACAGACACACACTGCGACTTGACACAGGACTAAGAAGTGTTAAAGAGCGAAACAGCAGGTCTGTGCCGGCGAGGACGAGCATCTGTTAGTGGGAGCCGGAGCTCACATCACTCCTGCTCTCTCATGACCTGTGATCATCCTCAACAGCTGCTGTTTCTACACCTCAGTGGAATTACAGTGGGGGAATTAATGAATTGGTCATTATTATAATTATTAGACTAGTAACACCCTTATGTTGAGTCAATATATGGCCAGCTGTGGAATAAACCGTTGGATCATTTACCATATGGAAGCTGGGTTTAAATTGGTAGAATTGCAGGGAAAGCGTACAGGGGTTTTAGTAAAGTGGCTATAGGCTTTTGACAAGGGATTTGTTGTAACACTTGTTACACAGCTTTTCACCATACTAGAACATTGACTTAACTAATACAAATGCAAATATTGACCTTCCTTCATTTCCTACTTCACATCTCTTATGTTTTCAACATTAGATAGAAAGATTAGATAGGTTGTTTTGGTGACGCGCGGAATTCATATGGATGACAGGAAGTAAAAAAAAAGAGTGGGAGACATAGAGGAAAGTCTGTATTTTTGCGATTTATACCACGTTTCAAAGGAGATATAATAGAAAATAACCAGACATGTTGGGCATGATACTTATATCAGAGCCGAGTTTTCTACTAAACTAAAATATGTTTGCCTGTCATCGAGGCGGTAGATACTGTATAACAGGGCTATTCAATTAGTTTGTCATGGGGGTCAGTTCATGAAAATTATCCCAAATGAGAGGCCGGAGAGATGAGACTTGCAATATGAGTGATGAAACCACAGCAAATAAGAACCCTTATGTTGTATTTTTGCTCTTTAAAACATCTGTGTTGTATTGTTTTTTAAAATTATTATTATTTATTTATCATTTTACAGTATAACAAACAACACAATTGACAAAAAGAATATTCAGCATTAAGTGTAGCATCAGAGTATACAAATATAGAAGCATGTACATAAATCAAATAACGGCTTGTGAATAGTCAGTATCATAACAATTGGTATTATGCAGGTTCAGGTCAGAAGGTTCTTAAAGGGTCCATAAAAATTTTCCAGGTTTTTAAAAATATGTGTGTTTTGTTTTTTAAGCTATATGTTAAATATTCCAAATGCAGCATGTCATTTATGATATCTTTAAATAATTCAAATGTTGGAGGGAGTTCCTGTTTCCAGTTTAACAGAATACATTTCCTAGATACATAAGAGATTAGACCTATACTTTTGGTAAAAAAAAGGGTCTAATACCTCATTCAAGTCCACCCCAAAAAGATATATTAAAGGAGTCTTGAGATATTTCTTTCCCAGGATCATCCGTGGTGTATTGTTGATTATGTAGTCTGAAGAATGAA